AGTTGGATTCCTCTACACCAACAAAAAGAACTTCAAAAAGGAAATCACCCAATCAGTACCATTTACAATAGCCCTCAAGAAGATGATGTATTTAGGAATAAATCTAACCAGGGACGTAAAAGACCTATACAAAGAAAACTACAAAACACTACCACAAGATACAAAAAGAGACCTATGTAAGTGGAAAAACATACCTTGCTCATGGATAGGAAGACTCAACATTGTGAAAATGTCAATTCTACCCACAGTGATCTACAGATACAATGCAATCCCCATCAACATTCCAGAAGCATTCTTTAACGAGATGCAGAAACAAATCACCAACTTTACATGGAAAGGGAAGAGGCCCCGGATAAGTAAATCATTACCGAAAAAGAAGAACAAAGTGGGAGGCCTCACACTACCTCATTTTAGAACCGATTATACAGCCACGGTAGTCAAAACAGCCTAGTACTGATACAACAGATACACAGACCAATGGAACAGAATTGAGAACCCAGATGTAAATCCATCCATCTATGAGTAGCTGATGTTTGACAAAGGCCCAAAGTCCGTTAAATGGGGAAAAGACAGTGTCTTTAACAAATGGTGCTGGCATAACTGGATATCCATCTGTAGAAAAATGAAACAGGACCCATACCTCACACCACACACAAAAACTAACTCAAAATGGATCAAAGACCTAAATACAAAATCTAAAACGATAAAGATCATGGAAGAAAAAATAGGGACAACAGTAGGGGCCCTAATACACAGCATTAACAGGATACAAACCATAACTAACAATGTACAAACACCAGAAGAGAAACTAGATAACTGGGAGCGCCTAAAAATTAAACACTTATGCTCATCAAAAGACTTCACCAAAAGAGTAAAAAGAGAACCTACAGACTGGGAAAAAAAAATTTGGCTATGACGTGTCCAACAATGGTCTGATCTCTAAAATCTACAAGATACAGCAATGCCTCAACAACAAAAAGACAAATAATCCAATTAAAAAATGGGCAAAGGATATGAACAGACACTTCACCAAAGACGACATTCAGGTGGCTAACAGACATATGAAGAAATGCTCGAGATCATTAGCCATTGTTGTTGTTATTGTTAGGTGTCATCCAGTCAGTTTCGACTCATAGTGACCCTATGTACAACAGAATGAAACACTGCCCAGTCTTGCGCCATCCTCACAATCATTGTTATGCTTGAGCCCATTGTTGCAGCCACTGTGTCAATCCATCTTGTTGAGGGTCTTCCTCTTCTTTGCTGACCCTCCACTTTACCAAGCATGATGTCCTTCTCCAAGGACTGGTCCCTCCTGATACCATCTCCAAAGTACGTGAGACAAAGTATTGTAATCCTGGCTTCTAAGGAGCATTCTGGCTGTACTACTTCCAAGACAGATTTATTCATTCTTTTGGCAGTCCATGGTATATTCAATATTCTTCACCAACACTATAATTCAAAGGTGTCAATTCTTCTTCGGTCTTCCTTACTCATTGTCAGCTTTCAAATACATATGAGGCGATTGAAAACACCATGGCTTGGATCAGGCGCACCTTAGTCTTCAAGGTGACATCTTTGCTCTTCAACACTTTAAAGAGGTCTTTAGCAGATTTGCCCAATGCAATGTGTCATTTGTTTTCTTCACTGCTGCTTCCACGGGTGTTAATTGTGGATCCAAGTAAAATGAAATCCTTGACAAGTTCAATCTTTTCCCTATTTATCATGATGTTGCTTATTGGTCCAGTTGTGAGGATTTTTGTTTTCTTTATGTTGAAGTGTAATCCATACTGAAGGCTGTAGTCTTTGATCTTCATCAGTAAGTGCTTCAATTCCTCTTCACTTTCAGCAAGCAAGGTTGTGTCATCTGCATAATGCAGGTTGTTAATGAGCCTTCCTCCAATCCTAATGCCCCCATTCTTCTTCATATAGTCCAGCTTCTCGGATTATTTGCTCAGCATACAGATTGAGTAAGTATTGTGAAAGGATGCAACCCTGATGCACACCTTTCCTGACTTTAAACCGCACAGCATCCTCTTGTTCTGTTTGAATGACTGCCTCTTCATCTATATACAGGTTCCTCATGAGCACAATTAAGTGTTCTGGAATTCCCATTCTTTGCGGTGTTATCAAATTAAATGTTAACAATGTTAACAAGTGTTATTTGTTACGATCCACACAGTCGAATGCCTTTGCATAGTCAATAAAACACAGGTAAACATGTTTCTGGTAGTCTCTGCTTTCAGCCAGGATCCATCTGACATTAGCAATTATATCCCTCGTTCCATGTCCTCTTCTGAATCCAGCTTGAATTTCTGGCAGTTTTCTGTCGATGCACTGCAGCAGCCGCTTTTGAGTGATCTTTAGCAAAATTTTACTTGTGTGTGATATTAATGATATTGTTCAATAATTTCCACATTCGTTTGGATCACCTTTCTTTGGAATGGGCATAAGTATGGATCGCTTTCAGTCGGTTGGCTAGGTAGCTGTCTTTCAAATTTCTTGGTATAGATGAGTGAGCACTTCCAGCACTGCATCTGTGTGTTGAAACATCTCGATTGGTATTCCGTTAATTCCTGGAGCCTTGTTTTTTGCCAGTGCTTTCAGTGCAGCCTCCGACCTCTTCCTTCAGTACCATCGGTTCCTGATCATAAGTGACCTCCTGAAATGGTTGAACGTCGACCAATTCTTTTTAGTATAGTGACTCTGTGTATTCCTTCCATCTTCTTTTGATACTTCCCTTTAATTTGATGCAGGAAGCATCAAATTAGCCATTAGAGAAATGCAAATAAAATACTACATTGAGATACCATCTCACCCTGACATTACTGGCACTAATCCAAAAAAACTCAAAATACCAAATGTTGGAGAGGTTATGGGGAGACTGGAACTCTTATGCACTTCTGGTGCGAATGTAAAATGGTACAACCACTTTGGATAATGATATGGCGCTTCCTTAAAAAGCTAGAAATAGAAATACCATAAGATCCAGCAATCCCACTCCTAGTAATATACCCTAGAGAAATAAGAGCCATCACACGAACAGACGTGCCCACCCATGTTCAATGCAGCACTATTCATAATAGCAAAAAGATGGAAACAACCTAAATGCCCATCAACAGATGAATGGATAAACAAATTATGGTACATACACACAATGGAATACTATGCAATGATAAACAACAATGATGAATCCATGAAACATCTCATAACATGGATGAATTTGAAGAGCATTATGCTGAGTGAAATAAGTCAATCACAGAAGGACAAATATTGTATGAGACCATTATTATAAGAACTCAAGAAAAGGTTTACACATAGAAAAAAGCATTCTTTGATGGTTACAAGGATGGGGAGGGATGTGGAGGGGAAATCACTAACTAGATAGTAGACAAGTGTCAACTTCAGTGACGGGAAGGACAACACACAATATAGGGGACATCAGCACAACTGGACCAAAGTAAAAGCATAGAGGTTTCCTAGACACATCCAAACACTTTGAGGGACTGAGCTGCTGGGGCTGGGGGCTGGGGACCATAGTCTCAGAGGACATCTAGGTCAATTGGCATAACATAGTTCATAAAGAAAATATTCTACATCCTACTTTGTTGAGCTTCTGGGTGTTAAAAGCTTGTGAGGGTTACCTAAGATACATCTATTGGTCCCATCCTATCCGGAGCAAAGGAGAATGAAGAAAGCCAAAGACACAAGGAAAATATTAGCCTGAAGGACTAAAGGACCACATGAACCAGAGACTACACCAGCCTGAGACCAGAAGAACTAGATGGTGCCCAGCTACCACCAATGACCGCTCTGACAGGGATCACAACAGAGTCCCGGACAGACTGGGAGAAAAATGTAGAACAGAATTCAAATTCATGAAAAAAGACAACTTACGGGTCTGACAGAATCTGGAGGAACTCCCCAAACTATGGCCCCCAGACACTCTGCTAACCCAGAACTGAAACCATTCCGAAAGCCCACTTTTCAGACAAAGATTAGACAGGCCTGTGAAACAAAAAATAACACACGAGAGGAATGTGCTTCTTTGTTCAATCAAATACATGAGACCAGATGGGCAACTTCTGTCCAAAAGCAAGACACGAAAGCAGGAAGGCACAGGAACTGGACGAATGGACACAGGGAACCCAGGGTGGTAAGGGGGAGTATGCTGTCACATTGTGGGGACTGCAACTAATGTCACAAAACAATATACATTTTTGAATGAGAAAATAACTTAAGCTATAAACTTTTACCTAAAGCACAATAAAAAAATTATTTTTAAAAAAGAGATTGACTCTAGATACACTCTATACTAATCCTGCCTCATTAACATAAGACAAAAATTCCCAAATGGGATTATAACCACAGGCATAGAGGTTAGGATTTACAACACATATTTTGGGGGGACACAATTCAATCCATAACACCAATAAAGAGAATACATGAAGGGAGGAATTACAGAAAGGCTAAAATATGAAGGGTAGAATGAAGCACTGGATTGCAAATCATTCAATTAAAAATATTTATTAAACATAGATCACATACTGGACCCTAAGCTACTGTCTAGGAATACAAAAGATTTCTAAGTCTTGATTCTAGCCCTTGAGGATCTAATTGTCTAGCACAGTGCTTCTCAAATTTTAATATGCATATAAATTCCCTGAGGATCTTGTTAAAAATGCAGATGCTTATTCAACAGATCTGGACTGGGCCTGAGATTCTAACAATCTCCTAGAGGATGCTGATGCTGCTGGTCCACAGACCACACTTTGCGTACCAACAGTCTAGTAAAAAAAAAAAAACCCACTGCTGTTGAGTCAATTCCAACTCATAGCGACCCTATAAGGACGGAGTAGAACTGCTCCATAGGGTTTCCAAGGCGCAGCTGGTGGATTCGAACTGCCAACCTTTTGGCTTAGCAGCGGAACTCTTAACCACTGCACCACCAGGGCTCTAGTAGGCATGCATAAATAAACAAAGTGTTACCGGTACTTGGAAATCTGTAGAGTACTGTGTATGCACCAAGGAGGGAATGGGCCCTTCTACCTGAAAAGGCTTCATGTCAGAGGAGCTGATCAGTGCAGTCTTATTCTCCTGGTAACTGCAGGGGGAAAGTCAAGAGGCCTACATTCTAGTTCAGTGACTGATGGTATAAGTTGAACCTCACACCATCAGCCAGTGAACTAGAGCTTTCTGACCTTCACTTTTCTCATCTGTAAAATGAAGGACTGAAAATGTCCAGATCCCTCACAGTCCTAAAACTGAGATAAAAAAAATTTAAATTACTTAATACCTGTTTAGAAGTTAGGGTGAAATAGTATTAACGGTTCTATTAATGAGCCTAGAAACTGACCTATGCTTGGCAAATTAATCAATAAGAAAATAGCACTCAAGTCTCAACAGCCTTTTACATTTGTTTTTTCCTATTTAGCTATTTGTAGCCCAGTGTACGGGCTACAAATAGAAAGCTGAATAAAAGAACACCATACTCACTTTGCTCAGCATAGTAATACTTAACATTTATAAAGTATCTTCCCTTTTCAAGGCACTTTACCAACATCAGTTAATTACCTGTCTCACAATTTGCAGGTTAATTTGCATTAGTCCAATTACAGGTGGACCAGATTAAACTGAAATGGTAAAGGCAGGCCCCAGAGGGAGTATCATATCCAAGGTGAGAATGCTGGTCTCTCTGCTACCCGTGCTCTTGCTCCCTCACTATTCACTTATAGGTGAGAACTAGCCTCACCAGGAAAGCACTAAAACACTAGAAAAGGGAGAAATGGCCATTTCTGAACCTGTTGCTTAAACTTGCCACTAAGAATGTGTTTTGAAGGAGTAATCATATTCTAATTATAATCCCTTCTCTTCCTATAGAGAACAGAGTTGAATATGTACCTTTTAAATGAGAAAAACAAAATTTAAGCTCAGAACATCAAGAATTATCCAATAAATAAGAGGTAATTTTTGTTATTGTTCTGTGCATTTGTTTTTTTTTCCAAACGCTCTAAAATAATAAATGTTATTTAAAAAACTAACCAATATGCAGTTTCAGTACTTCTGAACTATGGGCTAGGAGAGGGAGAAGTTGGGTACAAAGTGCTGGTAAATTTGGTAGTAAGTTTAAAATAAGATCCATTTGTATAAACCTGAAAGTACATCACAAATAAATCATTATTTTCTTAAATATGAAATTCTGAAATATTCCTTAAATATGCCTAATCTTAATAAGTATACAATAATATTAAAATGTATCTTTTCACAAAGAAAGCATTATATTGGAAATTCCTTAAGATTAAAATTGGTTTTCTACTTCCTTTGCATATTTCCAGCATGCTTTGAGTGCACATACACAGCATATAGCTCTTCTCATTAACTAGGACAAAGATAAGACCATTGTATTTTACTTTAGACTTTAAAAAAATTTGTGTCATGTTGGTATATGTATGAGTAAATATATGTTATAGACATACTCTACAAAAATAAGTGTTAAGCCATTTTCATTTTAACAATGTTTATTACAAATCACATTTTATAAACACTAGATAAATTACATACAAAAGCTAGACATACACAGAAGCAAAAACAGTAGTACTATTAACATAAGAGAAATAAACTAATATAAAGTTTAAATATATATAACTTAAGAAAATTACTAATTTTTCAAGAAATCAAAAGCTAATCAGAAATGTAGTATATTCACATTACTATCAAATTTTAGAATTATAGAACAACTACCATAACATTATTTATTTTTAAAAATCTTCTTAAACATTCATAAGCCAAATTACTATTCTTAAAGATAAAGTAAACTGATGTAAAAGCTCCTATCTAACTGAAGTATACAAAATTGTAGGCTTTGGTTAATAGACTCTAAATTTAATGGAAAATTTTTAATCAACATCTCCCTTGTGTTATATTCCTGAGTTTTTGCTAAGATGCCATAGATATAATAAAGAACTCAAGTTTCAGCTTTACATAACGTATTTTTGCAATACAAAAAAGTATTGTGATCATTTTGTATGTGAATAATGGTGTTTCATAATGTAATCATAATGAGAGAGAGTATGTTTAATGCGGTCACAATGAGTCGGAATCAACTCAGTGGCAACTAACAACAACAGCTTATCTAAGGGAAAATTAATGCCCTCTGACCATTATTTGCAAAGCTCATTTGTAAATTATGATCAAAATTATATTAAACCTTTCACCAATTTTTATTTGCACCTTATGAAACAATTTGATCTAAGGAGACACTGATTTTGTAATATAGAATGCTTTTATAAAAGAATTGAAATGATGCAATGCTAATGGTTAGCACAGAGCCAAGCACATGGTGAGTGCTCAATATTACTTACTAATTTAAAGTGAAAAGTCTTTTAATGTATTATTTCTGAACATCAGCATACAATTCAATGTAGGAGTTATGAATTAATCTGAAAATATCCAAAAACATTTTAATTTAAACATGAAAATACATTTTTAGTAACAAACATAAGAGGAATTTTTACAAGTGGCTATTTTCAGTCTTTGTTTTACCAAAATAGAATTAAATTTAAGGTTCCTTTTAAAAATACGCCTATGAAAGCTGATTTCCTATTAGCTGCTATATGTAATGTGGATGGCAGGTTCAGTTCCTTCTCACAAGATCACCTATCAACACTCTCTTGACCGATTACGTTAGATTACAACATACTCCTTAAAACAGTGTGTCCCCTGGAGACAGACTTCACGCATCTGGAGATTGGGCCCAAGAATGTGTATTTTTAATAAGTAGCTCTCCCCTGCTCCCAGTAAATTATTAAGGTCTGGTAGGTTTGGGAAATAATGCTTCAAAGCAACCAGAATAATTTTACTGTACTTCCATATTATTTGAATGTGTGGCATATCTAATGAAAATCAAATTTATTTAGCTTTTTAATAATCTGCATAGGTTATCACTGTGCCTAAGCATTTCTTACCTGAATGTCACAAGGTTTTCTTATAATTTTCTTGAAAGCCCTCCAGAGAATAAAACAGTAATCATCTTTTTAAGATGATAGGGCTTCTATAGTTTTAGTGTTGCATATGTACCTTTTCTTACCATGAAGCAGAAGAATCATCCAAAAGTTGTGTTAAAAAACTAAACGGTGTGGGATTTATTAAAATAATCATACTACTGACAAGGTAGTTTTTAAACAGCTATACCAACATTAGTAGAGTTCTTGCAAAGCTGGTTATCAAACACCTATCTTTTTAAAAATCAATTTACAAAGTATGTCAACTCCATGTACAAAATTTTATTTGTCATCATGCAACTAGGAAGCAATTATTTAACTGAATATGCATACATGAAAACAATGTGTATAGGTTTATTCTAATTGATCAAATAGTAACAAATCCCTCTAAATTAAAAAAAGATAAAAAAGTAATGGAATGTATTCACAAACAAATAGCATGGGGCATTGAAGAAAGTTTAAATTATTAGAGATTTGAAAGAACATTTAATTAGAATTAAAATCACGAACTATTAGCCACTTCTATTTCCTAACAGGAGTATCATATGCAGAGAAATAAAACTGCAAGCTTATTGGAGAAGTGGGTTAAATATTTTTAAACCGATTGAAACTGCTTAATTTAAAATGAACTGTTTTTGAACCTCAAGTAAATAATGCAGTATTCAGCAATTTATTAAAAAATAAACTTTAAAAATTTTAGCATAGTAAAAATCACTGCTAATACAAAAAAGTATACTATCAAACTCTACATACACAAGTTGAAAAGGGCTTAATACCAAGTCCTTGGTTCCAGATTACACTTCACACTCCCATCTGTATATCAGCAAAGTTGTAGAAGCTGTCTACATCTCCAGCTGCTGTCTCCTTGCTTTCTGATACAAACATCTATTTTAAATACAAAAGAAACAAAAAATAAATACTTGCAATCCCAAAATGCCAAAGCCTATGTTTTCCATAGGACAAAGTCACATCCTCATTTGTAATATTTAATCGGTAGATTTTCTGTAGAATTCATGCAATATAGTTTCAACAGCTCTTTTAAAAGCTCTTTCAATTAAACTCTTAAAAGCACTTATGATATAATTAAGGTCTTTGTGTTCATAATACTTTAGCTGTATTTTATTACACTGGGAGTTGTACTATTTTTTCATATACAACAGTCAATAGTATGCAATCTATTGAATAATTGTGAGGATGGTTCAGGATTGGGCAGTATTTTGTTCTGTTGTACACGGGGTCGCTATGATTCAGAGTCAACTCGACGGCACCTAACAATAACAGTGAATAATAAGGTTTATTTAAAGAACTCACAGTTTCTTCTCTTTTCTAATAAAAATCTCAATAGGTTGACAAGTAAAACTTGATAAGATAATCTTTTTTAAAGCTGCTAAAGATATATTACCAATTTTAAATGAACTATTTTCTAAACATCAAGTAAATAAAGCAGTACTCAAAAGAACCTTTCAAAAATAGCTTTTACAAATGTTAGACAGGAATTAGATGAGACCTGGGTTCTATTCTAGTTTATCATAAACTAGCTCTATGATACTGACAATTTAATAAACCTCTTTGGGTTCACTTTTCACACCTATAAAATATGGAAGTTAGATTAGATAATCTCTAAATCAGTCAGCTCTAAAAACTCCAAATCATGTAACCATTTTCTCTCTCAGTTTCCTCTTCTATTCAATCTGATTATATTTTCCCTCTCCCTCAGTATTGCTGTGAGGATAAAATGAGACAGAAGAGAAAGTCCTTCAAATTATATAAATTCAAGGAATCAGTAAGCCAAACCACAGGACAAAACCAAAAATTTCCCCTCAGATATTTATCAATGAATAATCAATTATATATTTACTCATTTAATCCTCTTTGATATGTTTGATTTTTAAGTTATATTAAGTTATTTAAGTTGAAATTCTTAGATACAGCAACCTCATCAACATATCTAGAAAATACCCACGGGTAATGATTCCAGACATACCTCAAGCTCAGTTTTTGGTAAAGCATTACTGAAGCAAATAAAAATGAACACTAGGCAACAGAATTGTCTGTCTAAAGCATATGATCTTAGAAAGATAGTATTTTTTACAGATATCACTATTCTAAAAAGTGCAAGGGCTTGAAAAGATATTTGTTCAGATTCTACTTTTAACTAGAAATTTATGTATTGAAGGTTTTTAATAAGTAGATCCTTATTTTGTGATTATTTTAAACAATTAAAGTTTTAGCTGTATAATGAAAAACCAAAGCTTAGTTCCCAATTATCTGCCATAGATTCTAAAAATTATGATCTGCTTTCTTTTTTTTAATTCCAAACAACATTAGAGATAAAAGTACTTCTTGATTGTGAGGAAAATGAAATGAAATGAAAATGTTTGACTGAAATATAGTCAATAAAATCTTGTACCTTGGTCCCACTGAATATCTCATTTATAATGAGATGACATCCTTCTACAGCACCATCTCCATTAAACTCCAAGGCAATAACAGGACCTATAAGCAAATCCAAGAAATGTTTTTTTTAACATGAATACAAATATATTTTAAAATTAATACTTTTATTCTTCCCTATAGAATCTCCAGCATCTTCTTCAGGGATAAAAGAAAAGATAAAGGCAGTAGACAAATGGGACACAACACCTCAGCTGCTTCTTTCTACACTAATCATAAAAAAAAGGAAATTAACATAGAGTCCCATCACATGACAAGTAGCTTCAGTGATATTATAGGAGTAGTGTCACATTTTTGAAGGTTGTAAATAGTCTGGATTTTCTGGTTTCACTCTCCTATAAAAACCATAAAAAACTCCACCCATTTAGTATACAAAAAATAGCTGATAAGATGGCAAATAAGATCAAAAGCAATTCAAGTCAACATGAGTACATTTTGCCAGGCAGCCAGCCTTGCTTCCAAGTCTCCTACTTATCAGCCAAGTTATAGGCCATGAATAATGGAGTCAAGTCAAATAGGAATTGAGGCCAGGCACCAAAAGTAATAAGTAACTGAAAGTTTTTTTTTTTTTGATGGTGACTTAAAATTACATTCTAGAACCAAAGACCAAATTTTTATTTTCACTTTTTATTATTGTACTTTAGATGAAGGTTTACAGAATAAACTAGCTTCTCATTAAACGATTAGTACACATATTGTTTTGTGACATTGGTTACCAATCCCACAACATGTCAACACTCTTCCCTTCTTGACCCTGGGTTCCCCATTACCGGCTTTCCTGTCCCCTCCTGCCTTCTCATCCTTGCCCCTGGGCTGGTGTGCCCCTTTAGTCTCATTGTTTTATGGGCCTGTCTAATCTTTGGCTGAAGGGTGAACCTCAGAAGTGACTTCATTATTGAGCTAAAACGGTGTCCGGGGGCCATACTCTCCGGGTTTCTCCAGTCTCTGTCAGAGCTAGTAAGTCTGGTCTTTTTTGTGAGTTAGAATTTTGTTCTACATTTATCTCCAGCTCTGTCCGGGACCCTCTATTGATCCTTGTCAGAGCAGTCAGTGGTGGTAGCCGGGCACCATCTAGTTGTGCTGGACTCACTCTGGTGGAGGCTGTGGTAGTTGTGGTCCATTAGTCCTTTGGACTAATGTTTTCCTTGTGTCTTTGGTTTTCTTCATTCTCTCTTGCTTCCAATGGGGTGAGACCAGTGGAGTATCTTAGATGGCTGCTCACAGGCTTTTAAGACCCCAGATGCTACTCACCAAGGTAGAATGTAGAACATTTTCATTATAAACTATGTTATGCCAGTTGAGCTAGATGTTCCCCAAAATCATGGTCCCCACAGCCCAGCAATTCGGTCCATCAGGGAGTTTGGATGTGTCTATGGAGCTTCCATGACTTTGCCTTGTACAAGCTGTGCTGGCTTCCCCAGTATTTTGTACTGTCTTACCCTTCACCAAAGTTACCACTTATCTACTGTCTCATTTAGGGTTTTTCCATCCCCACTCCTCCCCTCCCTCATAACCGTTAAAGATTGTTTCTTTTTGTGTGTAAACTTTCACATGAATTATACAGTAGCGGTCTCATACAATATTTGTCCTTTTGTGATTGACTCATTTCACTCCTCCAGTTTTGTTCCTCCTACTCTCTTGTGCTGAGTTCCTTTTGTTTGTGGATTTTTTTTTCATTTCTTTTGTTTTTGCAGGTTTTGTTTTTACTGAGACTTTACGTTTTTCTTCTTTATTTTGATAAGTAGGTTTGTTAACTTTCTTTGTGGTTACCTTGAAATTTACCCTTATCTTCCTAGGTTTGAACCAGTCTATTATTACTTGGTATCGCCTTGCCTTCCTCTCCATTAGAAGGTTCTATCCCTACACCGTTTATTCCCTCTTTTATTGTTCTGATGTTGTTGTCATTTACAGATTAACCTCTCTGGTTCCCTGTTGTAATTCTTTTGGTTTTGGATAGTCCTTGAGAGTTCATTTCCTAGACTGGTATCTGGCTAGTACAGTCCTGTGATTTGTGAACAATGCTGCAATGAACATGGGTGTGCGTATGTCTATTCGTGTGATGGCTCTTGTTTCTCTAGGATGTATTCCGAGGAGTGGGATCAAGTTTTTATTTTTAAATCCTCTGAACAGAATATCTGTGCCTCCGTTCCCATAGATTAATTTGAATTGTTTCCATAGATTAATTTGAATACTTGTAAATCACCTGTACTTTAAATTCTGGGGTAAAGACTTACGATTCAATTCAGTTTGGATTTAAATGTAGCATTGGCACTATGGCAAGAATGGCCATACGTCAGCCAAATAAAAGATGTCCTTCAATTAATAATTATTCAGCTATCCCTATATTCCTGGTAGATTTACTTTTTATCTCTTAGAGTAATGGAGAAGTCCTGACTTCCAAGAAGTGACAAATTTCTCAAAAAAAGAGATAAAACCATTTAACAAGGGACAACATAGAATAATGTTCTTTGATCAGGACAGCCTCTTCACAGCCGTGCCCACAGGCAGGCATCTCTGGCCCTCGGCCTGGCCTCTTCCCTGCTTGGGCAAGTGTTACAAAGCTCTTTAGCTCGGCCAATAAGTGCCTGGGGGTGCCCCACTCCACTAGCGAGCCTTGGGAACTCAGCTCTCATGCTCTGTGGGTCCGAGCCTAGCTCTGCCAAGTGCAGGGACGCACCCCACTCTGCCAGCAAGCCTCCTGCCCGAAGGCTCAGCTCTCTTGCTCCGTGGGTCGGTAGTAACCACTGTAAATGCCTTACTCCATGGGCTGGGAAGCCCACTGAGTTGTCTCACGCCGGTCTCCTGGTTCTGCTGCTGCTGCTTCTCTGCTACTCCCTCTTGGCATCTTACGCCATCTCAGGTGTGACAGCTCTTTATCTCCGTCTCCTGGGTCTAGGAGGATCTCAGCACAGGCACCCTGGGTCCAAAGGACATGCTCTGCTCCCGTCTCTTCTTCTTGGTGGTAGTAAAGTCCCTCCTTTCCACCTCTGGGATGGTTCATTTTAAGCCTAGAGGGATGGCAAAACTGACCAAACCCCGTGTTAGGGTTCCATGCACCTTATTTACATGGTCCCACCCCCACAAGGTTGCCATGCACCTTATTTGTATTATTAGCAAGCTGTCCAATCCCTTTGGTGGGCCACAAGTACCTTATTTGCATAGTCCAGCTTAATCATTTGGCAGAAGTTACAAGACCATGGCTAGAAAGGCCATATAAAAGTGATCCATCACACTGCAAAAACATATGCCATCTCAACAATTTCTACACGTATAGTTCAGTGACGTTGATTATATTCAAGTTGTGCAACCATTCTCGCTATCCTTTTTCCAAATCATTCCATCACCAGTGACATAAACTCAATGCCCCTAAAACAAAAACTCTCCCTTCCTCTCTCCCTTCTACTCCTGGTAACCACTAAATACTCTTTGGTTTCTATATATTTGCTTATTTCATATAAGGGAGATCATACAGTATTTGTCCTCTTAAGACTTGACTTATTTCACTCACATGATGTTTTCAAGGTTCATCTGTGTTGTAGCATGCATTAGGACTTCATTTCTCTTTATGGCTGAGTAGTATTCCATTGTGTGTATGTACCACATTTTGTTTATCCATTCATCTGTGGATGTACATTTCGGTTGTTTTCACCTTCTGACTATTGTGAAAAGTGCTGAAATGTGCGTTGGTGTACAGCTTTCTGTTTGCATTCTGGTCTTCACATTACCTGGCTATATGTGACACGATGGTTAAGAGCTCAGCTGCTAACCAAAACGTCAGCAGTTCGAATCCACCAGCTGCTCCTTGGAAACCCTATGGGGCAGTACTACTCTGTCCGATAGGATTGCTTTGAGTCGGAACCGGCTCAACAGCACATAACCACCACTACCACCTAGGACTGAGATTGCTGAGTCATATAATAGTTTTATGTTCAACTTTTTGAGGACCCACCAAACTATTTTCCACCAGCAACAGATGAGGGTTCCAGTTTCTCTAAAACCTCACTAACACCTGTTTAGGTATTCTATTTTTTTATCGTTACCTTTCAAACAGGGCTGAGGTGGCATCTCACTGTAGTTTTTTGTTGTTTTCTTTTGTTTTTAGTATTTTATTTTTCTTGTTGAGAATATACACAGCACAGCATACACAAATTCAACAATTTCTACATGTACAATTCAGTGACACTGATTACATTCTTTGAGTTGTGCAACCATTCTCACCCTCCTTTTCCAAGTTTTTCCTCCTCTATTAAGATAAAATTAATGCCCCCTAAGTCTCCTTTCTAATCCTTTGAGTTGCTGTTGTCGATTTGATCCCACATAGAAAGATTTTAAAGAAGCAGGATGCTCAAGGCAGGCATTCTATACTAGTTAAGCTAAACTATTGTTTGGTATTAAGAAGGCTTCAGGGGATATTTCTGATTTAAGATTATCTCAGGGCAATAGTTTAAGGGGTTCATCTACCCTCCTTGGCTCCAGAAAATCTGGATTCCCATGAGAATTTCAAATTCTGTTCTGCATTTTCTCCTTTTTGATAAGGATACATCTATAGAATCTTTGATCAAAATGTTCAGTAATGGTAGCCAGGCACCATCCAGTTCTGGTCTCATGGCAAAGGAGGCAGTTGTTCACGGAGGCAATTAGCCACTCATTCAGTTTCCTCCTTCTTTTCATGAGTCTCCTTCTTCCTATGTTGTTCCAGGTGAACAGAGAAAAACTGTACCTTGGATGGCTGCTTGCAAGCTTTTAAGACCCCAGGCACTATGCAACGAACTAGGAGGTAGAACACAAGCACTAAACACGATATTAGGGCAATTAACTGGGATGTGCCATGAAATCATGTCCCTAAAATCCTCCAAATTAAGGAAGCAAATCCCACGAGATGTTTGGTTGTACATAAGCAGCCTCAGCAGCTACTCTTTCGTTGTTGTTGTTGTAAATATATCACACAACTTTTGCCAATTCAACTTTTTACAGGTTTACAACTTCTTGATAGCAATTAATCTGCTGTGCAACCCTTCATGCAATTTTTCCATCACTGTAAA